CTGAACGCGTAGCGCTACTTTGAAGTTTGTTTTTCGCGCTACTTGTACGGCACTATGTTGCCTGGCGGATGGATATGTGACCAACATACCACTCTTGAACCCCGATCCTTCCGCCAGGCAACGTAGTGCCGTACAACAGCGGAACAAACAAAACAAATCCTCTTACGATATCACAAAAATCATGTTCAATCCATAGAAAAGCTGCACCCGACTAAAAGCCGCAGGGTTCAAAGCTTGTGCAAAAAGTAGCGGCTTGTAGCCCGACAATTACGGTACTTTTTACTAACGTATTTGTAACAGATTTTAAAAGACTGAGAGAAACATGTTTTGTTTTTTGGTTTCTCTTTTGTTTTGGCTGTCTGCCACCTTTTACCAGATTTACACAGCTGTTCGTGACTCGCCGCATACTTATTGGTTGGAAGACCTTTTTTGAAATCTCCTATAAAGCATTCAGCCTGAATGGCCTCTGCAGACCTTCTAACCCTGAGACCATACTCTCCACTGAACCACGGAGGCGTCCCTGCTGCTGTGACTGCCTGTAAACTGTTAAATCAATTCCATCTCCCTCAGAGGGATTTGTCCACTTTGTCCTGCTGCCTCTCGCAGTGAGATTTACATCGAGGAGGCCTGCAGCTCTTTTCATTCAGCACATGTCCAGACTATTGTCTTAGACTTATGTCTTGCTTTTTTAACCGCCTTAAATTTAATTTCCTGGAAAAGATGTGGCTCTGCTTTCTTCTCCTACTGCTTAGTTTTCTCCACGGGCCTGACCTGGGCCGGTAAGCGGCGCTCCCCAAAGGCCCCAGCAGCAAGAATCAAAACGCGGCGAGGCTTAGCGAGGCCTTTGTTGCACTAATTAGCATAGTAATGATTAAAAAGGATTAGTCGCCCGTTTTATTGGGATGCAAATGTGTGCGCTTGTACACGAGGCTGCGCGTTCTGAGCATGTGCGGCTCATGTTGGAGGTTGTTTAATAAAAGGAGGGCGTGTCTTTTGTGTGGTCTGTATATTTGCGTGTTTTTCACTTGGAGCTTGTGTGGCATCATTTCTGTGTGGGCTTAGTTGTTTTATGTAAACATAGATCAGCGTGTCCACTGTAGAGATTCACAAAGACCTGCTTTCTGCAGCTTATATGTGTGAGTTTTGTATGAATGCCTGAATGAGCCTGGATAGCTGCACTTCACAGGAACATTTTAATTTTAATTAATTATTTTATATAAATACAGTGGAAAAACACATTCATGTTACATTGAATCTACTATAAAAGAAATAAGGGTAAACTAGATTTTAGTATTTAGTGACTTTAGTGACTTTCTCATTCAACAACTTAACCCTTACCACCCAGATTCAGGCTCTGGCTCTAAAGTATAAAATGTGACAGCTGATGTAGACTTCTCTGGTGAATCTTTGGATAGCCCGTAAAGTAATCTACAAAAGTTGACGACACCATAACCAACATTTGTGCTTTGGCACGGTGATTTATGTGTTAATTACCACTTAGTTGTGTTCCGGTATT